ACAGGGGAAATTTCACAGTGCCCCACCCCTAGAGGAAGAACTACAAGTAATCGATGGCTACCAACAGGGGGAATCAGTCTTCTCCAGGAGAAAGTCCTTTGTTCAGCCATCCAATCCCAAGTGGTCAGCCCTAAACATTTACGTAAGATAGTACTAAATAGGCTTAGGAGGGGCGTGTGTGTGTGTGTGTGTGTGTGTGTGTGTGTGTGTGTGTGTGTGTGTTTACTTGAGAATTAAGTTATTACTTTTTAAAAAGAGTATTTCTGATTTACTGGAACTCAGTGGGCAAAGACACTTACAGCCAAGCCCAATGACATGAGTTCAATCCCCAGGATCCACATGGTGGAGACAAATGACGTCCAGAAATTGTCCTCTTGTCTATACACACAGACACACACACACACAGACACACACACACACACAGACACACACACACACACACAGTGTGTCAATCTGCATTAGGAGAGATGGGTGGTCAGATCACAGGAGGTAAAGAAGCCCAACCAGGAACGGGTATAACCTTCAAAAGCCTGCTCCTGGAGATCCACTGCTGCCAGCCAGGCTTCACTTCCTAATGGCTCCACAGCCATCTAAATAACACTGCAAGGAAAGGACCTACCACTCTGAAACATGAGCCTGTGGGAGTTATTCCAGAGTCTAACAACTGCTTTGATAAAATTGTCTTGTCTGGGCAAGGTCAAATGGGCAAAATAATATGCTTTGGCACTTCAGATATAATTTTATTTCCCCCTTTGAAATATTTTATTTGCTTATGTGACACACCGTCTCATGTAGTCCAGACCTCAAGCTCACCATATAGACAAGGATAACCTGGAACTCCTGGCCCTCCTGGCTCCACCGCCTCCTAACTTTGGGATTGCAGGAGAGTTTGCCACTGTGCTTGACTTTAGATGTGGCCGGCTTTCTTCTACTCTGCAGTCTCCCATCATCCCTTCTGCTGCTTCTGAAGGAAGGCTTTAACTAATTGTGCAATGACACGTCTGTCAAGTAATCCAGAGTCCAGACAGTCTTCTTCCCCCTAGTGATAAAAGCCCATTTGGGAGAGACAGTTACAGGATAAATAATACCCCGACGCCTTGTGTCCCTTTTCTGGTTCCTATAAGTCATTATTTACACTTCTTTCTCTAAGAGATCTAATTTTTTAAAGATTTTAATTGTGTATGACTGTGTATCTGTATTCAGGTTTGTGTACTTGAATGCAGTGCCCACAGAGGTCAGGAGAGGGTGTAGCATCCCCTGGAGCAATAGGTGGCTGTGAGCAATCTGATGTGGGGGCTGGGAAGAAAACTCAGGTCCTCAGGAAGAGCAGCATGTACTCGCCCCAGTCTAAAAACATCTATTTTGGGCAGAATGAAGAAATGTAAGCATGGTCATCTCATTCTCCGAATGTTCTCCATTATACCTGACATTCTTACACTGTCTGATACAGACACCCCTCCCAGTTTATAACCAAATATTCACTTTTAATATCGATATGCTAGCCGGACGGTGGTGGCACATGCCTTTAATCCCAGCACTTGGGAGGCAGAGGCAGGCAGATTTCTGAGTTCAAGGCCAGCCTGGTCTACAGAGTGAGTTCCAGGACAGCCAGGGCTACACAGAGAAACCCTGTCTCGAAAAACCAAAAAAAAAAATATATATATATATATATATATATATCGATATGCTAAACTATATAGTATTAGGTTCAAATTAAATGAACTATTTTGCAACATCAGTTTATTCCAAGATACATTGGGGAAACATTCTCTAAAGTTTAGTTAAATGTCTGTAATTCTCAAAAGTAGTGGCTGAAGCCTCAGTAAAATTTGCCTAAAGCTAACAATATACACTGCCCAGGCTGCCCTCAGCACAGACTATACTGTTCACTGACAGTTCACACTGCCTCAGGCTACTCTCAGAACAGACTATACTGTTTACTGACAGTTCACACTGCCCAGGCTGCCCTCAGCACAGACTATACAAGCCCGAATTCCCAGTTCCTCAACCAGAGTCACTCTATATGTTGCTGCTCAAGAATAAATAAGCTTTGTTTTGAAGAGCTGTATGCTTTAGTTCAGAATTGAACAGAGCATGGACAATGCAGACAAATGCTAGCACTGCACTCGGTCGCCAAGGCAAATGTCACCTGCCCCAGTGCTTCCTGAGGTGCTCTTTCAGCTGTGGGATGGAAGGCAGCAGCTGCTGACACTCATGGCAACGGAGAGGCAGCTTCAAGAGTTCACAAGTCCCATCTTTAACAGTTACTCTGCCAGCTTCCTGAACCATCTTGATCACAGCTACAAACACAAGTAAATAGCAGATCCCAGTTATTTTGGAAAGCCAGTAAGATACCAAGAAAAAAGCTAAAAAAAAAAAAAAAAAAAAAAGAAAAGAAAAAGAAAAAAGAAAAAAAGAAAAAAAAAGTGACTCTAATCAACATACCCAGCATCCTAAAGCTCATACCTTAAAGTTAGACTTCACACTGAGAAAATGTACTTGACCAGATTCTAAGTCTGAGCAGCCTACATTTGAGATGATACACTCCTTCAGGACACACTCTATGTAACTACATCATGGGCTTATCATCATACTTTTCCCCGGGTGGCTCTTTGCAAAATAGTAGCTGCCTCATTAAGACCACAGCAGTACTGAAGTTGCATAGAAAATATCCTGGGAAAGGACTTACATCCCACAGATGCTTACATAGCATCCCTGCACCACTGCTAACAGAGCAGGAGAGACACCTGCTCAACTCCTGCCACAAGAGACAGAACTACTGAGCCCCTCTTCATCCAAAAACTCCTTAGTGTTTGGACATGAAGTATCCCAAATAAAGCCTCGGGTACTGAAAGAGTGGTCCCCAGCTGTTCGTAGTATTCAGTCAGGAGGTAACAACTTTAGGAGACGGGATATAGCTGGAGAAAATAATTCACTGGGGACAGCCCTGACGTTGTGTTTTGTCCCAGGTCCCTTCCCTGAGTCCCCCCCTCCACTTTCTCTTGCTTGCTGACTGACGAGAAGTGAGTAGCTTTGCTCCTCGCCGTCCTCCCTGCCAGTCTTCAGCCTCACCAAAGCCCAGCATCAGAGCCACGGACAAGTCCTCTCAAATATGAACCTACATACAGTCTTAACTTCGTAGGTTATGTCACTATAATGACACAGTGACAAAGTCTGGCTAGCACAGGCTCCAGCAACTGTCAGATTCAGATCCTGATCACACACATCTTCCCAGTGAGGAATCTAACTCAGCTTCCTAACTTCAGAACACCTGGCATTAACTGGCATTAACATTACTGAGCAGGCAATAACTTATCTGCTGTCAAAACAAAACATTTTTGACCCTGATATAAGACCTAACTGGGTCTCTCCAGGATGTTCACAGCAAAGTAGCAATCCTATTACAATAAAACATCCTTCTTCATTTTAGGAGTGGTTTTTATAGAGATCACTAAATGTATGTGAGTCATTTGAGACCAGATTGTAGTCAGACAGTAAAACATCTAAGAAAATGAAGTAAATATTAAAAAATAAATAAAGACAGAATATTATTTACCTTGTGATTCCAGAAAGTATTCTGTATTGAAAGAATTCCAATGCTTTTTGTTTTTAAGGCAAGGAGAATCAAAATCCTGGCTGATCACATGAAGATGTACGTGGCTAGTTCAAAGTTGGAGAAAACAAAAGAACCAAGTATTAAAAACTTCGGTTTAATCAGAGAGACAGCAGTCAAAGTAAGTACAGGTACATGAAGTCCTGATGCTGTGTTCACTCAGTGCAATCTTCCCAGTCATTTAGTTGAGAATAGCTAATGCTTGCCATGTGTGCTGGACAGTTTCATGTCAACTTGACTCAACCTAAAGTCATCTGAGAGGAGGAACCCTCAATTAAGAAAATTCTTCCAGCCAGGTGGCAGTGGCACAGGCCTTTAAACCCAGCACTTTGGAGGCAGAGGCAGGCAGATCTTTGTGAGTTCAAGACCAGCCAGAACCAAAGAGTGCGTTCTAGAATAGCCAGGGTTACACAGAGAAACCCTGTCTCAGAAAAACAACAACAAATAAAAAAGATAGCCCTCCATAAGATCGGGCTATATGAAAAGCTACGACATTTTCTTAATTAGTGATTGATGGAGGAGGGCCCATCAGTTGTGGGTGGTCCCATCTCTGGGCAGGTGGTTCGAGAAAGCAAGCTGAGCAAGTCCTGAGGAGCAAGCCAGTAAGCAGCACACCTCCATGGTCTCTGCCTCCAGGTTCCTGCTCTGAGTTTCTGTCCTGACTTCCTTTGATGATGAACAGCAATATGGAAGGGTAAGCCAAATAAACCCTTTACTCCTCAAGTTTCTTTGGTCATGAGGTTTCATAACAGCAATAGTAACTCTAACTGAGACACCATGCAAGCACAAAGACCTAAATTTAATTTTCAGCACTGAAGTGAAAAAGCCAGGCACAGCAATACACACTCTCCTAGCACTGAGGAGGCAGTTTAACAAGTCAGCAAGCTCCAGGTTCAGTGCATTCCCCTGTCTCAAAAAATAAGGTAAAGGCTGGGTATGGAAAGGTGTGCCTTTCATCTCAGTGCTCTAGAGGCATAGATAGCAGGAGCTCTGTAAAAGTTCAAGGGAAGCCTGATTTGCATAGCAAGCTCCAGGCCATCCAGAGCTACATACACAGTGAGATGCTGTCTCAAATGGAAGGATGGATGGATGGATGGATGGATGGATGGATGGATGGATGGATGGATAAGCAATAGTGAGGTGCTGTCTTAAATAAATAAATAAATAAATAAATAAGAAATCAATAGTGAGACTGTCTCAAATAAATAAATTCATAAAAACAAAAATAAAAAAGGGAGAAAGCAATTGGCCTCACACAGACACACACATGAATATTTAATGCTTAGTAAGTATCTAATTAAACCAAGCACTAGGAATTTCATAGTGAATAATATAGGAAAGGACTTTGCATCTACCATAATTAAATTCCTGTGAAGAAAAACAAATAAGTAAGAAAAATCAAAAAAAGAATAACATTTAAAAAAAAATAAAGAACATGCCATGCATGCTGGCACATGCCTGAAATCCTAGCACTCGAGAAGTTGAAGTAGGAGGATTCTAAACTTAAGGCCAACCTGGGCTAAACAGTGAGAGCCTGTCAAAAAAAAAAAAAAAAGTCGTTGGGAGGATCAGAGGGGGACAAGAAGAACAACAGGATATAATCAATATACATTACACATGCCGTAATGAAATCCATTGTATATTACATACACTAACCAAAAAGAAAACAGGAGTAAAAGGAGGAAAGACAGAAATGGAACAGTGACCTAGCCCCTACCCTAACCCAGTCTAACCCTAACACAGGATGAGAGGAGTTAACAGGGCCCAGAGAAGGCCTCTGCCAGATAAAGCAACAGCTAGGCAATTGTGTCTTCAGAGGCTGAATTCAAAATCCAGAGATTCTCAAGAAGCTGCTTTGTGCAAATATGGACCACAAAGAAAGTGAGATGGCTACAGTGAGCCACAATTAGGAGACCCAAGGACAGAAACTCAGCAGGAGCCAGATCATCACAGGTCTTAGAGGCCTGTAAGAGTGCTGTGGTTTGTTCTGACTACAGGGAACTACTGGAAGACATTATCCCACTTGTACCTTTAAGAGACAGCTCTGGCTGTTGGGAGAAAGGGATGGGGGGCACAAAAGGTGGACCTAGGGAGTCCTTATACCAGCTTACTGCAACAGTCAATGCCAGAAACCAGGACAGCTTATACTAGCTGCAGCAGAGATGATGACAAACAGCCCAATCCTGGCTGTGTTGTGGAATAACACTAACAGGGCTGACTTAGTGGTACACATTTGGGCAGTGCACTTGCTGAGATGTTCGGGCTGAGCTGATAGATCTGGTGATAATGTGCTTCCCTGTGAGCATGAGAATCTGAGGTGTGATCCCTAAAACCCACACATACAAGAAAAGAAGTGCTTGAAATCCTTCACTAGTGGGGTGGAGACAAGTGGATTCCTGGGGTTAGCTAGCCAGATAAGTTAATTAACAAGTCCAGGGCAGTGAGAGTCTCTGTCTAAAAAAAAAAAAGTAGATGCACTTGGCATTCACCTCTGACCTCCACCTGCATGCATACACACACACACACACACAAAGACACACACACATATACATACACACACACACACACACACAGGTAGTTTTACTTTGTTAAACAAAAAAGAATGCCTTTTTTGTGTGATTTTCTATTCTTGGCATTAGTGGTATGTCACTTTGTTAATAATCAAAAGCCACCATTTGTGTGCAGAATCCAAAATGGAAGATAAGCAGTAATAAATGAATAAAAATGAAGAGAGCTATATTAAAGAGAGAGAGGAAAAAAACTAGCTTTGGAAAACAGTATTTTGTCTAAATAATATAAAGCTGAAAGAAGAGAGGAGGCTTTTCACAAATACTGTACTACAGTAATAAATGCCTTTCCACAGGAGATGGGCGACAATTCCATAAGTATATTATATGTATGTTAGGACTGAACACACGGTGAACTCATTATAATGAATGATATCGCGTTTCTCACTGGTAGAGAAAGAAGACACAAAAAGGGCAAGCTGGGCATTGCTCATGGAGATGGACTGGGAGGAAGGTACCAGCACATCCTAGAAGCTAAGCAAGTCAAGTCTGGAAGGAGAACCAGCAGGACTTACACTTCCCACCTACACACATGAACACAAATCAGAGAAGGCGAGAGAGCTTAAGATTTGTGTGTTACTTCCTGGCTCTACCTGCTGAGAGAATGTAGAAGCAAAGACATCCTAAAAATCAACCACTCCTATCATTACAGAAACCTGGAAGCACCTAGGTCTCTCTGGGGAAGATGAAACTGGAACACCATATAGGGACAGAAAATAACATAAACATAAAAAAGATGTTGGGGGAAAGGAGTGACAAAGAACCTATCTGAAGGAACTTCCAGTGACCAAATATGAAACAATTTAAGCAACAAAAATAAATAAATAAATAAATAAATAAATAAAAGTACTGAATTAGAATGTACAGAACTTCCACAAACTGGAGAAAAGGAGAAGTTCCGCGCAGCTTCCACACACAAAAGGACAGTTCACACATTAGATGGGCAAGCATGAAACAGGAAAGAGGACAGTAACCGCAATGCAGCAGTGCAGAGTGCAGCAGTGCAGCAGTGCAGCAGTGCAGCAGTGCAGCATTGCAGGCACCAATGCAGCTGAGTGTGGGGCAGCAATCTGTGACCCAGCACTTGGGAAACTGAGGCAGGAGGACAACTCTGAGATCAAGGTCAACCTGAGCAAAACAGCAGGATCTAGACTGACCTGGAGACAGACTGAAGCTTGTCTCAAACAATAAATGGAAAATAAAATCACCAATAGATAATAAAATAATGGGTCTAAATTTAAGCTACAGGATAGAAACAGTCTTGACAAAATAATGAAGGTCATCTCAATGGCACACACCTCTGACAGGATGAGGACA